GATAGTTTGTAATTTTTGTTTTATCTAGAAAGTTAGTTTTCAATTGGCTTGCACAAATTATTGATGCATTACCACAAGAAGATAATGAATTACTTCCATTAACTCTTTTATTGAGATTATCTCATGCGATTATTGATATAGGTTAAAAGAAAAAATTAGTTTTGAAATGAAAATCATTAAGAGGACATGAGTATGAATGGATTGTTCTTGACTCTCGCAAAAAATTCAGCGCATTAGATCGAAGTGCGATCAAGATATTCAAATTTTTCCTTGATCCAAAAATAGTGCTCGTCGAGTGAATCTCTTTTCTGGATTCAACTTCTTAGATGTTACTGAAAAAAAAAAGAATGATCTGTTAACAACTTCTTTCGTCACAGGAAAACGACATTCGAGATAAGAAGAAACTTTGTTTCGCAGGACTCTAATATCCAGTTTACGACTCAGATCCGAGTTCGGAACCAAAAACTTTCTACACAATGACTTTATTGAGTACATAGATGAAGAGCATCTTGTGAAATACGATTTTAAAGGAATATTGAAGTATGAAAACAGATATTTAGACTTCTTCTCTCCGCTCCACAGATCATGATGGACATATAAATGATACACGTACGCAAGAAACTGAAATCTATTACAGACACACTGAGTTTAAACTAACATGTTATGATTAACAATTAACTAGGGGATTACATACTAATAACTTATCTCATTTATGATCTACAGTTTCATCATGTTTCACCATTTAATTCGATAGGGATTGCACTGACAGTTTTCTCAAATAATTTCGTTTTTAACCTGTATATTTTTATGAGTAGAATGTTTGTCTTGATACTATTCAGGTGAACTGACAGACTACAAAATTTTAGTTTATTGCAACAATCTCCTCGTCTGTCCTATTTTCATTCCAGAACTGAACTGTCGCATTTTGTTCCTCGTTTGAACTAAAAACTTTTTTTTTCTTTTCGTTGTAAGGAAATAGTTCTTTAGCTTATTCAGATGAAGAACAAATCGGTAATTTATGTTGTCATTTACTAAACAAAATTGTTAAAAGACAATGTGATCTTGATGTATCATTCTTATTCTGGGAAGATTTTTCGATCAAATTCTTTTCACATATATCAAACAATCGATTTTAGTTTATTTAATTTATGTCGATATTGGTTATAATCAAATCAAACATTCATTTATACTATTTTATGTTGTTTACCTGTCAATATCTTAACAGTCAAAATTCGAATTAAGAAATTAATAAAAAGATTTTTTGGTAGTAAATTTCCAAGACATGGAACATTCTTATCATCAAAAAATGATTATTCTATTGTTAAACAAAATCATATGAATACTCCATACTTAGGAAGATTTACAAGACATTGTTTTTATTTAATATACTTGTTAATCACCAAATGCCGTATGTCTTCCTTGATTGTATTTTTTTCATTTGAAAGATTATTTTTATTAGACGAATGTATGCAACTACATGACTTGAATGTTTATTTCAATTTTGTCAACGTAAAAGTAATAATGAATCTTTTAAAGAAGAATAATTATCTGAATCTCAACATCGATTATTAACTTATGAACAATTACCAAATTTTGTAAATGATGCATTGGTTTGATTTATTTAAATAAGTTTAGATGGGAAATATTTGTTTTTTCTTCTTGCAATTTAAGATTTGCTTTTAGGCTATATGGAAATTTGCACAATTTTGTGTAATGAACAAATTGAAAACATCACTTGGAAAACCTCAAGAAACATTTTTAGCACTCGAAGGTAAAAAGTCATTCTTGAATTATAATGGATTAGTCTCAAACAATTTTTCATTACTGTTAGTTTAGAAACTTTACAATTTTTTGCTTGGTCAATTGTTAATAATACCAAGACAGTCGAGTCATCTTCGTCTGAACAAACAAATCGTTCTTTAACTCCATCATCGACTACAAATCTTCCGGTTACATCATCATCATCATCATCATCATCGAGTGAAGTTAATCTTCCAACTGATAAAGGTGATTGGTGATGTGATTTACATCGATGTGGTCGTCTATTACAATTAATTGAAGCACTTAAAAAATGTATGTATGAAGGTGCCGCTCTTTCACTTCCACAATTCCCTAAAGTAAGGTTAAGTTTTTGTTTTCAATATTTTAATATGATCTTTTTTTTTTCAGACGATAAAATTCTTTTTTATTACAAATAAATCTACATGTCTGGAATGGGTTAATCGTATTCGTATTCCAATTATTTTAACAGCCGTATGTAGTGGTCAATATGAATCTGCTGTGCGAAATTCTAATCAATGTCTAATGCATGTTTGTGCACTAGGTAAAGCAGAGGTAAATCCACAGATTATACCCAAATAATATCTACTTAAGAAATGCGCATAGATTCATTGCTTAACAAGCTTAGCTAATTTTTTTCTCCCATACAGATTCATAAATATTATCTTTAACTTCAATAGAAAAAAAGCAAGCGTTTCATAGTTTCTAGAAAAAAATCAGACAACGTTTTTTTTCTTATTATTTCGATTTCTTTTTAATTATCCTGTCGTTTTGTCATATTACTATAAAAATATGTCAGATCTGATGATGAAGAAGCCTACAAACTGCTTACATTCCATCGTTCTTTCTGTGAAATCGGATCAAGTGGAACATACCAAGTTAATTATCCTCAGATCATCAAGAAAAAATTAGACTGATAGTTTGTTACAATATCAATGATGAGTAACGAAGTTTTATCCGGTCACATTTATTGAATATCGAAAAGCATGAGAACTAGTTTTATTCGAGGAAAATATCAAGCGATCATTCTCTTCATCTTCAACAATTGATATCAAGAGTTCTGGCATTTGAACATGTATATTCTGCTTAAAAAATTTCTCTTCTCCTCTTCCAAATAAGGAAATCTCTTATCATACGTATTTCTTCAGTAGACATGATTTTTGAGACATTCTATTATTGATTTTTCTTGTAAAGGCATCACAATTTCAATTTGTAATAATATCATTTGTTCAATCACTTATTAAACTTCATAACAGTATGGAAATTCATGGAATATATATATGGTTAAAAAATATCCATCAACTTGATTGGTCATGAATACATGTTTGTGAACATGAAGCAGCAGGAAATCTCGAACAAGCAGATTATGAATAGAAATTATTACTAAATGAAATATTTTAAAAATCTTTCTTTAACTAATGATACCAATCGAGAGAAAATATCTGCTGCACTCGTCAAGTTTTTAACATAAAAAGTAAAAAACAAAAAAAAAATCATGGAAGATAAAATAATATTTTTTTGTTTATTAGGTTTATGATTGTTATTTAAGTCTTCATCAATGGCCAGAACTGATAACATGGAATGATACATGTATTCAAATGCAAATACCTTTTTTACAAGATCATAAAAAAGATTTACGTATAACAATGAAAACAACGATTGATATAAATGCGATTCGGTAAGAAACATGAAAGATGTTTTCATAGAAAATAAAATTCATGTCTTTTAGAGCAATGAGTTATTTTGAGAATCGAGATTTTTATGGTTTAAAAGTAGCAATGAGAAAAATGCCAAATTCACAAGCAATTGGAGAAGAACTTGGTCGAAATATTTCGTGTAGTTGGGATATGGAACCATTTGATATGTTAGCACCTGTGGAGAAATTAAAAGGAGTATCAAAACGAAGGTAATCAAAGGAAAAATTCTATAAATTCTAATCAATTTTTTCTTATAGATCCGGTCTTTGGTCACTAAATGCTGTACTTCAATAAACATAAGATTTAACTCGAATTCATAATGTTGACTCGCATGCTTCATGGTCAGAAGAAAGAGTAGCTATTAGTCAAATTGAAATGAATTTTTATTATTATAATGGATTTTTTTTAGAATCGTGAAGTTCCACTTTTATCGGATCACAAATCTGTATCTGTGCAACACAGTATACGAACATTGAATTCGGTTCTTCTTTACAATCAACTAAATTTCAATAATCAAAGTGAATATATCGTTGATCATAACTCTCATTTATTATTCGAAGTGAGGAGGCAAAGGAAATTTTTTTGCATGTCGCAGATGCTGTAGAATTTTCTATGAAGCCAGAGATATACGAGAATCTTCATGCTTGAAATTGATTCCTATGTTGAACTCAGCAACTAACAATTTAGTTTGCGATCATAGACGGCAAAATTGACTTGAAGATCTGACAGATTTAAACTGTCCGCAAAATCGAGCATGTTACTACTGTCTATGAGACATGACGTAGAGCTAACTAAAAATTTGTGCAGACAAATCAGCTAACCTACACCTTCCTCGTCATCATCGCATAAGTACACGATCTACAAAATTTCAGAAGATTTGACAAAATCTCTAAGGACTTTAAGACTTCAGAGATGCAGTCTGACTGTTCCCTCCTCGCTTGAAGTATAGAGATAGAAGTTTACACCACTGTTAGAGTATGGACGACATTATCCAAGGAAGCCTCATAAATCGTGCCAGACATCTTATCGATGATCTATCAGAAGTCGTGGTCGACACACTAATAATGACCATCACTTTCCTCATAGACTGTGATTAGAGAGCTGCAGATCCAATTTTTTATACAAAGCCGCATTTTTTTTCTATCAACAGTATAAAAACTAGTTGGTATATTTATCGACCTAGAGTTAATTCTCTCGTCGAAACCTCAGCCGAGTATGAAATTTCGTTTGATCACTATTGATTTGATTTTCTTTTTGCATGGATCTATGTTTGAAAAGAGTTTTTCTAATCCAGATAAACATTGAATTTGTTGTCTGAATGACAAGTTCTCAACTGATGAATTCAATAGAATTGCTGAACAACATTTGAGATTCTTCTCTCTGTTTGTAGGTGTATCATCAGCTATTAATTCTAATTGGACAGTTCTTTGAATGGATATAGTTTGATTAGCTTGTCAAGAGAATAACATTACATTATCTTCAAAATGACTCATTCAACAATTTCAATCAACTGATACATGATCAATGGGTTCATTAACTTCTCAATCTAGTAATACATCCTTAGGTTCTCCATTACGTTCATTTCATTCTGATATATCTTCTATTGAAACTTATTCACTTGCTTCACTTATAACAATGATTGAACATTATCAAAATGCTCATATGGTTTTCATTGAATTTGAAAGTGAAAGAGCTAAATAAATGCATGGTTTATCTATAAATAAAGCTAATAATATCAATATAAGAATTCCTATTGAATTTCTTTCATCTTCTATTCCACGACATTTAATAAATGAAAGTGAAATTAATCCTTTATATAATACTCAATGTTCAATAATTAATATTGAAAAATGTTCACGAAATCGATTAGATATTGCTAAATGATAACGTACAATACTTATCAAACAACAAGAACAAATGTTATATCATTAGGAAAATGATTTCACTTAAGAAAACAATATCTTCTTACTGGATTAGGTGTTGATATTGATGGAGGTCTAGTTATTTTCTTGCTCTTTCATTTAAAATATTGGTTTTTTTTTTTCTTTTAGAAGCTTTTCTTCGAAAAAATGTATCTCTTGATCAATTGTTAATTGGAGAATTATTAGATTTTTCTACATTAACTTGTCCGAATTTAGTTAAAACATGGTTTAGATTTGCTGATTGGGCTTAGATTTGGGGAAGAGAATTATTTGCTCGATCTATACCGTACGTAGTCAATGTATGAAAATATCTAGTTCTAAATTTTTTATTTTGTATTAGATTATCTTCATTGGATTTTGGACAACAAATTCTGGCAATTCTTCCTTCGGTTTGTTCTTAATTTTTCATATCTAAAAAAGAGAAAGAAATATCCTACAGAATTTCCGTGCTCATACTAAGTGAATCCTTTGGACTCATACCAATACATCTTGTTCAGAATTTCGAATAACCAAAAAAGACTGAAATAAAATCCAAACTCCCTTCTCAAATGTTAGTCTTCTCAATGTCAAGAGAGTAAGTGCTGTGGTTAGGACTTGCTGATTAGTTTTTCTCAACACTGGAGAAAACGAAATCATTTAGAAATTCTGTTTACCTTATGTAAAGCTCGACATTGATGAATTTCTTGTATGTATCTCCTACTTTATCTTTTAGGAAGTTTCATCGGATGAAATCAGTGAAATATTTCGTATTTTATCTTCGATTCAAATTTTGACCGATGATCATTCTGAACTTGTAAGTTCAACTATTCTTTAATAATTCTTCTTTCGAAAATGTTTTTTTTTTTTTTATTTTAGACTGCTGAAGGAATTATCATTTCCCCATTCTTATTGTTAAGATTTATCTTGTGCTTGTTCATTACTTCCAAAACAATCAATATTAATCGAACAATTACTTGCTTTACATCCACAATTTGATCGTCGTCCTTATTTTCTTTTAGAACAATCTTGTCGTGCTTATTTTACATATTTACAATTAAGTTATACAAATACTTATGGAAATGTCAATGAGGAAAAATCTAATAATAATAATAATGATGCACCAAATATTCTTGTTACATTATGTTTATTAAATGTACTTGTACGTTATCCTCAACAATTACGTTCGATAGTTGAAATAATTCTCGTTAATATGACAACTGTAGCATGGAAACATCTTATACCAGAATTATTTTCTCGTTTAAATCATCGGGATAGTTTTGTTCGAGATTATGTAAGAAATTTCTTAATAGGTATAACAAAAGATTTTTCACAATTAATTCTTTATTCAGTTATTCTTGGAATAACTGATGATTCGAAAATGCGATGAATGAAATCTCAAGATGAAAATATTTCTAAAAGAAAATCTTTGAGTATACATCGTTCAGATGATCAAAGATCACAAAATGAAATTGAAGAAGAAGATGAAGAACTTGAAAAAAATGATGATGATGGTGAAAAACAGAAAATCTTTTAGCTATACAAAATAGTTTTAGACTTATTTATAATGTACTTTCGGAAACAAATGCAGATGTTGTTAGACAAATGAAATTATTTGTATATCAATTATGACATGTTACTGTTTTATGAGATGAACTTTGGTTAGGAACAATGGCACAACTTCAAGAAGAAATTAGCCAGTTAGTTTGAGAGAAAGAAATTCGTACGATGAAATGGAAGTTTTGAGAATTATTGAAGGATTGCAAAATATATGTTAGCATTCAATCTTGAGACGTACATTGCAATGCCAAGTACCGATAGAGCACAGCGAATCTTGATTGATTGTCATGCGAAGAACCTAGTAGATGAATACCTTAGAGAAGGATAGTTCGGCATAAAAATCAAACTAATTGTATTTGATGGTCCAGAGCTGTTTCTATTAGCAACAAAAATTCATCTTTGCTTGATGGATGAAGTGTTTTTGAGCAATTTCGACAAGAGAACTGATAAAACTAGCGACAAAGTGGCTCGTCACTCCGGCTAATTTCATACTTGCAGTCGTCGACAGTCTATCCAAGGAATAATATAGATATGTGGGCTTTTATTTTTTTAATAAAAGAACAAATGTTAATGCATCAAAATAATGAAGAATAGGAAAAGTATTAAAAAAAGTCTCTTTCGGCTTCTTAGAAAATGAGCTATTAGTCCAATATCTATGAGGATAAAAATGTTAAACATAATGAAGCGAATGTATTAACTTGATTTTGATCAATATGTCTTCAGGGTTTGCCATCGAGAGATTCCGTTGAGATGTGTGCAATGTATCCTTGCCAAAATATCTGTGCTCGATCGTTAGAACGATTTCTATAATGAGTCGTTTCTCGAATGTTTATCGCGGTCTATACCATCCCGTTGCTAACGTACCTATCAGAATATGTGATGAAAATGTTTATCACGATTTTGAGACGTTCAACTTTTATCTTTACACTTGAAAACTATTTATAAAAATAAAAAGTTCGTTTATTCTCTTTCTTACTTATCTATATGCCATCGATGTACAAGTACTCAACTTTTTATCATTGATAAAAACCAGATCTATGTATATGCCTTTTTTTAATTTTATTCTAGACATGTTTATGCACTTAAAGATGAACTTCATCGTCTTCAATCAATGACACATTTAACAAAAGCTGAAAATGAATTTTTAATCAAAGAAAAACAAAATGTTTTATTTAAATCTGTAAGAAATTTTTCTCTTAATTGTGTCTAAAACCTTTTTTTCTCTTCAGTTCATTACAGTTCTTGAAGCAGTTAGTCAAATAACACGTTCATCTGCTCAAACACCACGTGAACGAACTTTTCAAAAAGATTATAGGTAACAAATCGATGCAACAATCGAACAATTAAAACAACTTATCACCCTCATCCTCACCCTGGTTACAATTACAACAAGTAAAAACAAACATATTTTAGAAACAAATACATAAAGTAATCATTCTCATATATATACATATATTTTACATGTTTGAATCAAATAAACAACAATTTTTTTCTATTTCAATACATTCATTCTACGCAAAAACAAATTTATTTAAGTAACAGTTGAAAATAATCATCATACATTTGTCGTCTCAAGAAAATAATCTTTGAAATGTTTTGGAAATCGAGAAATTTTCTCCCAACATCTATATCTCACTTTTGCACAATTATTTTGTGTTGTTTTTCGCCTAAAATTGTGTGTCACTCTTTTTAAAGGTTTATAATCGATTAAAAGATCAACATTAGACGGTAAACATGTTTTGGTATCAAGAAGAAATTGTTCCACATAATCATCATGAGCCTCATCAAAACCAAGCCACTTAAGATAAGGATATTCAATAATTAATAAATCTTGATTGTTATTTTTTAATTTTCTATTTTGTTTATTCTTTTGTGCTTTTCGATTATTTATAGATAATTTTTTTATAAATGGAAATGATTGAGCAATTCGAAGAAAAAATTCATGTTCAAAAGGACGTTCATCAAATAATGACACATTACAAACACATGTAAATAATCCACCTGGAAAATTATTTGCGATATTTTCATAACTTCTGATTGTAAATGGACATGAATAAATATGACATTGACCTTTGTTTGATTCTAGAAAATAATTGGCACAAGAAATAATTTGACTATTTGAAAAATCTTTGAATGTATGTTGGATATTTTCATTTGATAGTAAATCAGTTTGATCGTTTAACAATATAGTTGAACGAATCTTAAACCGAAATTGATTTAATCGCGGCAAATAATTAATAATATTTTGCTGCAAATCAACTCCATCAGCAAATCCATTATTACGATTAACCGACAAATACAAACTAAGTTGTTCTAAATTTGACATTCGATGTAAGAGTGGTATAATTATTGTATCATAGAAACGTATGTTCGAAAGATAATACAACGAAAAACATCGTAAACTTGGTAGTTTTTCCTAAAAAAGATAACATAGATATTAGTGAGATTTAATAAAAACCATACTTTATTTATTTTTATAGGCGAACGAGGAATTGAAAATACTATATCAACACAGAACGTTCGAAGTTGATTGAAACAACCATCAAGTAAATAAAGACAATCATTAATAAAGTTTACTTTGACATGTAATTCTAATAAAGTTGACGAGAACACAGTTAAAGGCGAATACACGAATGATGTTCGTTGATCACAGAGAAATGGATTCAAATTTAAATATTGTAAATTGGTGAACATATTAAAGATATGTGTGAATATCAATGTATCTATATCTACTGATATATCTTGTTTGTTAATAGTTTTAATCATGAGTGATGAGATTTGATGTTTGTATTTATGCATTAAAGAAGTTTCATCTAAATATAAATACAAAATTATTGTAAAGACAACTAGTTTTTCTTTTCTTTTTACAAACAAAAGATAAATCAAATATGTAATCATCCAATTAACTATATTATGAGTTTATATAAAATAAATCATTTCAATTGTCATCTATTTCGATGTATTAACCCTTTCGTACTGGAGGTTTTTGTACCAACAAAAAATTTTTGACTTTTATCAAAAGCTTGGAAAAAAGATGTGTATGTGCATGGCAGTACTATATGGAATGAAACGCTGATTCTGGTATTGGGAATCGCTTTTACGGTCTTGCTAAGTGCCAGAGTCTCACAGATCATTCCATCCTGTTCTTCCTTAGAGTACAACTTGAATGTAGTAGGATAGTATTTGTGTACGAATATTGGCGTAACCACGGCTGTGGCATTTGGAACAATACCTCAAGAGTGACGGCCTGATGTTAGAAGTAAATCCATGATTCTGTATGTATAACGACATTTTACCTCAATAGCATGATGCATTAAGCGTTAATTTGATACCATTGGGTTGTGCTATTGAGTATAACTTCTGTAAGATTAAGCTAGGAGAAGTCTACGAAAAAAGCACTTAATAAGATAGAGAATGAACAGTCATCCTCTTGCAAAAGTCTGCTGAAATAAAGGAGTTATAAATGTCAGAGAAATATTCTGAAAGAAAGCTTAGCCCGTATATATACGGACTCTGGCACGAAAGGGTTAACTATTAAAAGAATTCAAATAAAAATACCTTACCAGTAAATAGACTTAAAGCTGTCTGTCTTAATGTTGTATATACTAAGTCCAAATAAATTCGGATAATTTGCAGAAAGAAAAACACGTTTCATAGATGAAGATTCAAGTTCAAGCCATTTGATATTATGATGAATATCACGTAAGATCTGTAAACAAAATCGATCAAGCATTAAATCAGGTAATGGATGAATATAATCATATGATGAGTAATTGAATCATTTTAAACTTTTAGTAAACATAGAATCATATACAATTTTATTAAGTCGTTTATTAACGCCGATGAGAGAATAAAGTAGGTTAATATTGTTTAAGTTTTTAAAAATAATCAAAAGAATTTCATCAGGTAAATCATTCAATTGAATAGATGATTTTTCCATGTTGATCTATATCTATATTTATTTTTCTTATGTTATAAATGTCCATAATTGTACACTCTAAAAAATTTCCGTCTTCTAGGAAACCGACCAAAAAGGTTTCCGAGCGCTCGAAAACCCAAATCCGTTTCCGAGAGCGACTCGGAAACCCTTTGAGGGTTTTCGAAGGCAAAAAATAGGTTTCCGATAACAAAATTGGAAACCGAAATGGGTTTCCGAGAAAATTATCCGTTTCCAAGATTCGGAAACCCATTTCGGTTTTCAATTTTGTTACTATCGGAAACCTATTTTTTGCCTTCGAAAACCCTCAAAGAGTTTCCGAGTCGCTCTCGGAAACGGATTTGGGTTTTCGAGCGCTCGGAAACCTTTTTGGTCGGTTTCCTAGAAGACGGAAATTTTTTAGAGTGTACGTGTATATTTATAATCGCTCATTCTATTTGACCGACATCGTCAATAAGAACAATGATGTATTTCGTTTCAATAGTCCAATGATTTAAATAGACAATGAATGAATGACATTATTTCTTTTCTCATGCAACTCGTCACACACTTGATAAACATTTTCTTAGCCAGTTAATTTGAAGTACGACATATGTACATTTATATTTAGAATGTTGCCCATATCTTATAGCTACTCTTGTTACAAATAACTTTTTTTTATAGCAAGAGTTCAATGAATAGTGGTAGCAGTATGTATGCTAACATATAGGAGATAGTAATGAATCAGAGAAGTTCGTGGAAAAGAAAATAGCATCAAGTCAAGTGAGTGACGGCAATTTTATCATGATATTGTCGTGAGCGATCATCAACAACAATTTGTACCCTGTAAGACATGTAAAGCTTTATTATTTGTTACATCAGCAAGTGATACAAACGATTCTGAAGTTAACAGTATATTTATGTTCGTTATTTGACTTATGAAATATACTTGTTGCTTATAAAAATAAACATTTGAATATTTTACTGATATAACTCCGACGTTAATCCAAAAGAATTCCTCTTAATTATTCGAACTCCAACTCCGAAAGGTATTTTTTCCGTGACTCCGACTCCAACTCCAACTCCAGAAATTTTCGTTTTTGCAACTCCAACTCCATTGGAGTTGGAGTTTGGAGTCTAATGCAGTACACTAGCAAGAGCAGCTCTACAAAACCTAATATACCACTACTTCTCCAAATTTAGCGTTTAAAAGATTTACTAATAAACATTTCGATCACTTTTTGATCATTTTTGAATCCAATGCTCTCTAATGATCATTTAAGATTTCATTTCTAATGCAGCAAACCGAATGAGCGAGACACATTTTTAGAATGAGCTTGATATGTCCTATCTCGCGATATATACATATAGGCCACTTGGTCTTAACATAGAAAAAAACATTCTCATATTGATGAACACTAGACTCTCATACTACATATCGTAAGTCATGACTTCGACATTTTCTTGTAAAGTGTTTGTCGTTTTATAGGAAGGATCTATAGCAGATCTTTTATCACCAAAGTGAGGTTATCGACTATGCTCTACACAGCTATGGTATTTAAATTTGATTTGGAAGAAGTGATGTATAAAGTGTCACATATACAATGGAATTACCCATACATAAAAAGTTATCCGCTATATTCAATATTACTGAATCACTTCTTTCATATCTTGATAGTTGTTAAATGCGGACAATTATCAGCTGTATTCCTAATTAGTACTTGTGTTGCAGACTTTTGAAAAGAAATCTCTGATCATATGTGTGCAATCAAAAAACTAGTAAGATAATATGAAATTTCTATGATAAACTTGATTACCAAGCCTACAAAGATAGTAAACATTAAACTGACAATATTTCAGTTCTTCTTTATCATTACGTCGTCTTGTTCAGTCTCTAGCTGTCTATCGAACATAAATATTATGACTCGTTTGTAATCAGACCTGCCTCATCTCATTTATAGTAAGAATATCAATCATTTCAGAGAAAATTCAAATACATCGGCATGTTTCATTGAATATAAAACAATCATAAACTAAATTTTTTTTCCGGAGATGAAACTGAACAATAAAAAATCTTTCATCAGTCTCTTCTTCATCTATCGGACGTAGCAGAATTGATCATTTAAACGTTGTTACTTTTCCTATTAATATCGTTTAAAAGTGAGTTTATGCAAAAGAATTAAACAAGTATTTGATGTTGCTATCCTATACTAGAGATATCAGTTAGCATCACGTAGTGATCTAGAAACATGTTCCCAAATTAGTTCCAGTTCGATTGAATTATATCTGGTAAAATTAGAAGAGGAAATAAGAAAAAAAATGGCTTTGACATTTCCTTTATTTGATTTATAATAATATCGGAGTAACAAGACAAGAGAAATAACACAACAAGAGAAATAACACAACAAGAGAAATAA